CTGCTGAAACTGCGCTGGGGCTTCCAACTAATTTCAGATAAACTACTGCAGCCACCAGCTGATAATGACTTCCAGTTGCTATCGACCTTGGCCATAGTTATAGCAGTGACCTAGAAGAAATGAAAGGCTCTGGGTCTCATTACCAATGCTCTGAACTGTCGAGGACCATTATCTTATGGAGAAATTTCATCTTCTTCTGCAAATAATCTTCAGACTTGCCTTCATGCAGAAGGAAAAAAAAAAATCACTCGGCTGTTTTCAGATGTTAGAAAATCTCCACAAAAGCTCTTGTGGCTTTCTAATATTGGTGTAAAGAGGAATTTATATATTTCTCTTGGAAATTTCTTCTCTGGGATGAATGCAACTGTTACCTCTTAAAATCCTGTGACTGTTTCCATTGAAACCCATAAGAGCATCAGGCCTTGACCTTAGGTCAGCGTAAGTTTGAGATGATAAATTAATAGGCCATTACATATAGCTAAGTCAGCCAGAAGTTTTTCCAGAGTGGTAACTGTGTCCCTGCTCTTAAAAGACACTCTTCTCTCCTAATAACCAGACTTTCTAAAAGAAAGCACCAACAATACTTCACTCAAAAATTGCATCCCCTGGATATTTCTGTGAGAACAAAGACTGCCAGCTCTCTTTGGAAAGGCAGGACTGTTTTTCATAGCAGGCTTTTGAAACCGAAACTGTTTCCTTTCTTCTTGTACCAGGTACCCTATTAAAGCTTGTAGTATTCTAACTCTGGCTTCCTAATAGCTTGGCCGACTCTTATGCCCAGCTGTAATGCAAGGAAAACCAGATGCCACCTCCCTCCAAGGCCCCACAGCAGGCAGGGTGGCCATGTCACAGTCACTGTGTCCTGATTTCAGGTAGTGCCACTCCATCGATCTTGCACAGAAGGACAGGAGGAGCTGGCAAGGTTCAAATGGGTGCCTGCAGCACCCCATAGGGTGCTTGGGAGTTCTTGCAAGATGACATAACCTACCTGCTCACCTCGTAGAGTAAACATAACGTGATGGAAAGGCCTCTATCCATTTAATTTAGTTCTGTCACCTTTAATGGCATCCCTTAGAATTATACTCTTGCCATGTGTGTGTGTTTACCCACTGTTTTGGGGGAAAGGCAGATGCTGGAGGTGAAAACCAGTGTTTGTGAAAGGCAGATGTAATACCAGCACCTCAGCCAGAGAACAAGATGCTTTTGACTTCGCTCTTTGTTACATATGCTTATGTAAAAAAGGGCATTGTACTTTACCGGTGTTTCACATCCCCTAAAATAAATCAATTTCATCTTTCCTAAATTTAAAAAAAAAAACAACAAACCACAAAATACAACTTTCTTTTTCAAAAGTGCTTTTAAACAGCTACTATTTCTTATTGGTTTATTGTTTTATATTTGCTTTTGTCTTCATACTTCTTTTCTGAAGGTGGGGTATTTTTAGTTAAAGAGATGTTTCTGTGTGATTGTTGCTCATCACCCACAGCACTTCTATAAGCTTTTAGTCTATTGCAATTTGACAAGTATCTTTTTTTCTGTCGCAAACTGGGCGAGCAGGCATATCCTGGATTACTATTAAAATACTGGCAGGGCATGTTTGGCACAGTGGGGAAAAGCCTGGCTGCATTTTACAGAGAGTAATCTGAAATTTATTTCTATCAATACAGTAAAAGCATAGTTCATGATATGCACATGATATGCACAAATTACTTAAAATATATTCTATTTTTTCATTGTATTATGTGGTTGTTAGTTAAAGACCAGATGTCTCCTCATGCTTTCTTGAGTTCCCAATTTCATTAAGGATAATAACCTGAGGAAAAAAACCACTCCATTCTCTACAGCTTCCTAATAATAGCTGTGGTTATTACACAAGGTCAGCGCACAGAGACCACAAAATCCTTTCAGACAGGGCTGTGTTAATCCATGTTCTGTAAAATGAGAACACTTCCGATGACTTGGCATTTGCTACTTAATTCTATTTTTTTCTCATTCTTGTAGGACAAAACTTTGTTCCATCCGGTAAGCAGCAGCTGCATAGATTGCAACCCAGCCGAAAAGAAGATTTTCATGAACAGATGTGATCCTTTATCTGAAACTCAACAGTGGATTTTTGAACATATTAATATGACTGTTTTAGAAAAATTTAACAGCAAGGCCAGTTCCTAGGAAAAAAAAAAACAAACACACCCAATTACGTACAGACTGTAGACTACATTTTCGCCAGCATCTGGGTCGAAGGAGTCAGGAATTAAATTTCCTAGATCCAGGAAATCTGTTCTGAGGATTAAGAACATGCCACAGCAAGAGCCAGCAGGCTGTCCTTGTGGATGTACAGGATCTGAAGAATTTGGCCAAAAGCCTCACCGGATGCTGCTGAGAACTTCAGGCTGAAAATTCCCTTGCTGGTCGAGGGGAAAAAAAAAATGTTTAAAAACTGTTTAAAAGCACTCCAAGTTAATAAAGTAAAACAAAACTCTAGAGTTTCTCAGGTCAAATCCTGCTGTAGTGAGTAGCTCAGAACAGACACTGTAATTTGGGATGGGTATATGGTATGCATGATGGCTACAGGAACTTGAAGAAATCCCAGGTTTTAGAATTAAATATGCTGGTAGAAGAATAAAGATGTCCCAGCACTCCTCTAGACAAGATATATGCTCTGTTGACATTCTCTTAATAAAAGGTTGGGTTAAACAAGTTTAACCCTCAGAACTGCAGCAATTAATTTTAAATACCTCCCTTTTACATTCCATTCATTACCAAAATAGGAATGGTAAAAATCTTAAGGTTTAGAATTACACTGTAGTGAAGCATGAAATAAATTGTAAGGTTTTGCCCTCACATTTCCCCCTTCAGGAAAAAAGTAAAGCAATCAAATTTCTCTATATGATATATTTAGCAATTGTGATTCAAATCCCATTGTCACACAAGGTGAGGTTTTTTTTGCAGTGACAAATATAACAGCAGCAGCATAATGGAAAGCTTGTGGACTAGCTATCTTTTCTAAAGGTAGACTCCTTACCAAAGTATAAATTAAATTGAAAATAGGCTGGAAAAAAAAACATCAGGAGAGTGGGTAAAAATTGCATACTGCATTGACTATGTTAGTCAAATTAACACTGGTACACTGCCATCACCTAAAAGTGTGTTCACTCCCTGCAGTGCAGCTTAAAAGATCTTGCAGTGATCTTGCAGTGTGCTTGATGGATAGGAATGGAGAGAAAAATTTACATGAAACTAGTTGGGTGGTTTCATGGTTTTGAAAACTGTGATGGAAATCACGTGAACTTTCCAGAGTTAGCAAGTGAATGGCATTGTAGATCTCATGACAGAGAAAACGAGAAGTGCAAGCAAGTTAAATATTGCAATATTTTGGTGTTTTGGGCACAATTCAAGGTAAGATAGACTTCTGTCACACTTATGGCCCATGGTGTCCCTCAGACCTATCAAGCTGTTAACATGAGAGGCCTCTCAAACTTTTGTGGGGGAACTATGGTTCTTCTCAGCAAAAATCAGTTAGTACTGATGTGTGGAACATAATTGATAGGTTTGGGATTTTTTAAGGTAAGAGCAAGTATAAATTTATATCAAGTACATGGCCTGCTTTTACTTGAAGGATGAATTTACAGATGAAAGCACCATAAATGCAGATAGATCACATCCTCTAAGAGGTGGCTGTAACGGTGCTTTCGGCTTCCAAAAATATCATATGTAATTAAGTTGCTTATTCTGATTTCTGGAGAGGTGGCTGACTAACCAAAATACTGATGTGCAATCTACCCTGTTTTGAGGGAGGGAGTAGGGTGACTGTGTTTTTTTATTGCTCCTTAAGCTGTGTTTATGCACAAAGAGCATTGATTGCATCCAGAGGATGGATCTAGTACCATTAGCTATGTGCTATTTTATAGCAGCACCTTGTAGTTGTAGATTGAAACCAAAATTGTAGGTCATAGGAACTTTTTAGGAGAGGAATAGGATCCTGTAGCATTCAGGATGCATGCACTTGGAAAATTGTGAAATGCATCCATACATTGAACAGTTCCTGTAAGTTAGAGATCTTTCAAATAATCTGAAAGGAATGTGTCTATAGAGTTAGACTTATTATTTTATTATTTTAAAATAAATTAACTTGTTCAGGTGTTGTTTAAATGCCATTTGAAGATACGGTGCAATCAGGAATGAAAGCAGTAAGGTTACTGTGTGAGGATACTTCACATTTGTTTCGCTATCAGTACATAGAACCAGACTAGGCACTGCAGACTGTCAGCCTTCCCAGTGCTTGTAGCATCATTTATTTGCAGCCTGAACATGAGAAAAAACAATTTGGAAAAAGAATAAAATGGTTGCCTAAAATGTAAATGCAGCCCTCAAGCTGTTGAGTGTAACTGACCCCAAACTGTCAAAGTCCTGGAAGCAACACTGTATGCCCAAAATAGAGAGGCAAAGGAGAATTGCTAAGCCAGCTAAGCAATTTATATAATGCGCAGATTGGTACGGTTGTATCATTCAGTGTCTGACTGCATATCAGTCTTCTGATTTTGAAATGTCTAGTGGGAACTAGGCTGCTGTTGGAGCAAAGAACCTTTATGCCTTTTACGGCCCTCATTGAGTAATATTGCACAGCATCTTGCACTGCCAAAGGAGACTTCCCTCTTACTCATAGCTGGACACTGACTGCATGACCTAGCAGTCCTTGTCAGAAGACAATCCACATAACTAATATTCAGATGTTCTAGGGAAAAATATGAACTACATAATGTTTTCAGGTTTTATAGGCAAAATATAAGAAAAATGTATTGGAATTTGTTGTGGGTCAACAGTGAGCAACTGTTGATCAGTCTGGAAATATAAAGGTTAAATGAAGGTCCATATCTTGAGGAAAGTTAAATAAGAACTTGCCCCAGTGCAGTATAGAAACACACATAAATGTATGTTTGTGTCTATGTATACAGATATGCACATTACTAATGGAAAGAGATAGATGAAGGAGAGGTTTGTTTTCACTTCATGGGCTGATGTTTCAGATATTTAGTATAAACAGAACTGCACAGAAACAAATGTTAGGACACATTAGACTGATAGAGAAGACAGTTATCTCACTGTTTTAAGTTTAAGCAAATTAATCTCTTTTATAAACTGAGACCAAAAAAAGCTAATATGCAGCTTTACCATAGACAACTGTATTCCTCCTACTATAGGTAGAAAGTGGCCCTAGGGATAGAGTGCTTCAGAGCTGTGCTCCTGTAATGTTTGGGATGATGGATTCACAAAATGGTTATGACGTGCTAAGCACAGGACTCCTTCAACAGAAAGTTTCTTTAATAATAAATGATCATCCCTACCTCTAAATTAAATTTTGTCTTGGGTGTTCTCCAAAGTATTCCACTGATAACAGTATTTCTTTACTAATTTAACATTCAGAATTTCTTTAAGTCTTCCTACAACCATATCTTTTCCACCCAACGAATGAACAACTTGATAAGATGGTTTTCTGCTCATATTTCACCAGTAGCATTTAGCTTTAATATGCATTTCTTCAACAAACTATGAAGTTTCTTTACAGATTTTTTTTTTTTAAATATCAGAGAGTTCTGAACATATTTTGAATCTAGTGTACAGGTAGCATTAACTGATGTGGGCTATACTAATCTGCTCCAACTGATGACTTGCTTCAGTTTTTTCAATTAATTATTTTATGGCTGAGAGGGCTTTAATCAACATGGATGAAAAGAAGATCTTTGTATCTTAAGAGTTCATCAGCTCCTACCCTAGACTTTCTCCATTTAAGTCTATTTGACTCTTTTTTTGTGGCCATCAAACTATTACCACAGGAGAGAGCAACTGGAAAAGCTGGAATAAACACCAAGTGCAACTAAAACTCTACAATCACATGTTTCCCTGCAGATATTCCAAAATCTAAACTAAACAGAAGCCTTGAGGGGAGAGGGCTTAAAGGGGAGGAGGAGCCAGGAAACAAAGTGTTTCACATCTGAGCGAGCAGCCTTATTGAAGGGACATGGCAAGACTTCATTTTTCATTGGGTGCAGCCTTATTGCAGAAAAATGAGCTTGCTTTAGAACAAATGTTTTTGCAACAGTATGGATATTTTAATGTTATAACGCATACTTTCTGGGTGTTATCAGGTTATGGATGAAGTGTCTGTAGCTGCTGAACTAGGTCTTCCTTATAATAAAGATAGACTAAGCATGAAAGAAGCTGACAAGACTTAACAGCCTTTGATTGGTTGCAATTTACCCGGCGTCAATGTCTCCATGACCTCAGTGAAATCTGATGCCGCAGGAGACTATAGAAGAAATGTATATATATAGCTTAACCAAATTGATTTGATGGGTTGCACCTCTATAAGATGTCACATTTGTTTTAAAAAAAAGTCATCATAATCAGAATTCATTTGCATTTTCACTGGTAACTTTTGCAAGGGACTGAGTGAGTGAGAGACACCCTTATAAGCTACTCAGACAGACTCAGATGAAGCGTTCTAGGAAGGCAGTATTTGAAGGCTTTCATTGTGGCTGCCACCAGGGGTGGATCCATTTGCTGTTTAAAGAGCATCAAGCTTTAATGTTGTTAGCCCAGCATTTTTTCAAGTGAACACACAATATGCATTAAAAAAAAATATGATAATGGATTTATTTTTGGTTTTCATCCATCATGGTTGTTAGGGAAACCATTTCAAAACCCTTGAAAACAAAAAATGTTGATCAGAAGTAGCTTTTCTGTAGCTGGTGTTAGTATTATAAAGTTCATTAATCCATTTGTTTAACCTCTTGCAAACCTGGTCCATATATCCTCTTAGAAAAACCACAAGGGTCCAAAAGTGCTTTTCCATAACATTTTGAGGATCTTGCGCTGCCTGAAAGAAAGTTTTGAAAGACCTTTAAAGAATTAGCAAGTATAACCTAAAATGTAACAAAAAACCCCAAGGAAAAATACCTAGCTGTTATGTTTAGTATGCTAAGAAATTTTGCTAAACTTCTTGTACTAAAATAGTATCCATTGACTGGAAAATTTTAGATAAATAAGTAATATAGTTTAGTAAATCATTAAAGTATAATGCTTTCTATTTAAGATTTTCACTCTTAAAAACAAATTTTAGTGAATCTGTATAGTTAGTTGCTGACAGATTTGGGTTTTTTTAACCACATATAATACATAAGTTTGTCCTGAGGTCTCCTGTAATCTCGTATTTGCTTCTTGTAGTTCTGAATGCACTGGACTAAAGAAAATCTAAATGAAGGAGAAAAAACTCCACACCTCTAAAAACTATCTAAAAAACCTGTACAAAGCTAATTAAACAATACGTAAGTTTAGCTAGACATGATCTGAAAAATGCATCATATTTCCAAAGCTTCAGCAGCACTCAGAAAAGACATTTGCTCTGTAAGGTGGCTTTATATTCTTTGAGTGCATCATTAATATCAGTGGTACTACTCCTGAGGCAGGACTTCTGAAA